CTTCCTCAGCAGTACTCTGATCTCCCTATGTAATATCAAAATGTAGGTCCTCAAAGGATTTTTCCCAGGTTTCTTCACAAGGTAATTCTACTCACAGACTGCAATGTTAATCGAACTGACATTAAAGTCTCTTGAGAAATAAACCAGTTTATGCCTGAATAAGGTACCAGAAACAGTTTTCTGGGCCTAATGGTAAATTTCACAACTTGTACTTCGAAAGTAATTTATAGATCTAGTAGACATTGTAGTCTCACTTTTCTGTCTGGCTCATGACACCCCCCCCACACACACACACCTTTTGAAACTACTATTAAGTAGCTTTTTATGTAAATTTATGGCTAATAATTTTAATGTATTTTTGAGAACCCAGAATAACATTAACATGTCTTTATTCCTTTTTACCTCCAGATTTCATGAGCCTGAGTGTCATTGTTTTCAAATTTTAATTGTAGGTTACCTAAAATATCCTAACAAAAGAATAAGTATACCTTAACTCTAAGCTGTTTATATATATTTTGCATTGCACCATTTTGACATTCCTCAAAGAAAAAAATAAAAATCATAATAAAATTGTAGCTAAAATAACATGAGGTCTCCTAAGAAAAATAAATCTGTGATCTACAGATGAATACAATCTCAAGCCATGAGCAGCTTGTGTTTATAGAAAAGAAGTCAAATCACAGAGCATGACTCCTTTTACTTTTGTTAAAATATAGTGAGTGAAATGGAAATTAATAATAAAGTCAACTTTGTATGTCAGTAAAAAGGCCTCATTAACAAATCTTTACTTAAAAACTTAATACAAACTGAGAAATCCAAAATTGTATGTCTTACATGAGGCAAATTATAAACAATAAAAGAAAATAAGAATGACACCATTTCATTCAAATGAAATTCAAGTGAAGAGTGAGAGTACTAGATCAGAATGTACTTAATATCTTCACCAAGAAACCTGAGAAAAAGAAAAGGCATACTCTTGAATTTATACCAATGTCTAATAATACATGGTACACAACTGCAAATGCTTTTACATTTCAACCTCCTTCTGGCACAAAAGGGCCAGCTCAATACTCCAAGATTGTCTGAAGTTAGTCCTGCACACCCTGTTATCCTCCTTTTTTCATCTTGACATCGTGAATATTATCTTCAGCTCCATCTGCCCTTTTTAACCTATATGTCTTTACGGTGAATTGATGTGAGCTAAAAGTTACTTAAAAAGTTGAAAACAATGGCTTTATTATGAAGAAAAAAATAGGTTAAATGAGCCAAAAAGCATTCTAAAAGAAGTTAAAAGTATAAAAACAAAATGTGCCCATAAGTAAACCAGAGTGGAAAAATCTCCTAGTAAACACAATTTAACTTGTTTATTTAATGACGAATGTGTAAAAGTGTTTTCAGTGATATAGGAAGTGATGATCCTTAAGAAAGATATATAATAGGCAATGTCAACACATTCATTTAGCCATAGATTTTTTTCTTCTCAATTAAAACTACATTCTGGAATTATTGGTCCCATGAAACTTATTGAATCCAGTTTTGAAAATTGTTAAAGGAAGGAAAAAACCTAAAGCAAGATTTGTGATAAGAAGCTATTGGTAAAGTTGGGCACTTTCCCACGGAAGGAAAATACAGGTGACTTCTGATGGTATCAACATACTGATATTTTCAAGGTACCTGTATTTAAGACTTGGTCAACAGAAAGCACAAGCAGTGAATATAAACCAGGCAGGATAGCTAAGTATTGCCAGGACAAGGCTGAGGGAGATAAGGCTCCCTGCAGGCAAATTTTTAAGTGTTACCCCCTTGCACAGCACTGACAGTGAGGATTCCTTTAAATTTTGTGCCTGAGGAATATGACTATCCTCACTGTAGCTCAGGCCTTCAAACCTAAGAACCTCATTATAGCATGCTATAATTGGTTTCAATAGTTCAGAAATGCAAATTAATTACAGGTACAGTAAATACCTCTTTATGGAAAAAAAAGTGCCAGAAATACAAAAGTATATATTAATTGAGGTTCTTTCAACAACAAAATTTTGCTACATGATATATATGCAAGAGATTTGCTTATATAAGAGCTTTACATGAGTGTTAATAGCATTTCTGTTCATATTATCCAAAAAGTAGAAACAAACCAAATGTCCACCAACTACTGAATGGATAAAAGTATGATTTATCCACACAACGGAATGAAGTCCACACTCCTAAAAGAGAAACGAAATTCTGATACATTCTATAATCTCTATGAAACCTGAAAACATTTATCCTAAGTGAAAGAAGGTACAAAAGGCTATATATTACGTAAGTTTATTTATAATAAAATGACTAGAAAAGGAAAATTAATAGAGAAAGTCAGCAGATTAGTGTTTGCCAGAACCAGAGAGTGGTGATAGCAGAGATAAGGAATGAACCCTTAAAAGTATAAGTGTTCTTATCTGACAGAATGTTCTGCAATTAGATATTGAGAATAGTTTTCTGATACTATGACTATATTAAAAATAACCAAATTGTGTTCACTAAATTAGTGATGTATATGTCACTGTGAAGTACATCTAAATAACATTTTTAAAGCTAAGAAAAGCAAGAGTCTGTCTACTTTCCTTCTCATAACTAGAATTTTTTGAGTACCTGTGAAGTTTTAGCAAATCTGTAAATGTTTCTCTACATATAATAATCAAAATTATCCTAGAAGAAATCTTTTTCAGAGAAGGAAGTTAAAGGATCAAGAAGGTTAAGTAATTCGGTCAGAGACTGCTTTGTTGTAAGGGACAGAGCTGAGCTTACAAAATGAGGCAGTCTGGCTTCCAGGCTTAATTACCAGAAGTAACCACTATTAACAGCTGGGGCTATATATACTTCCAAATAATTTTAATTGGGGGAGAATAAATACAAGCACATGGAACTATTTACTATAGTTGTTTCTGTATTTAAAAAGTAGGATAGTAGTGGCAGAGATTATATGCCATAGAAAAAGTAAAAAATATTTTTATATGGTCCTTTACAGAAAAAAAAACTGATGGTATAAAACTTTCTATTGTCAGTAAGCATTATATCATGTTGAACCTCCCAGGTTTCCTAAATATCCTTCATTTCTTTTCACTTCTGTGAACAAGTGAGATATACACTCCTCTGTGCAGTCTAATGTCACACTGACTCTTCACAACTGCCTTATTTTTTCAAGCTTGAGTCTTCACATGAAAACTTCTATTCCTTTACCGAGAAGAGTAGAAGAGGAGCTACTACCCTTCTGTTGTTGCCTTACAGTGAATGCTGTTGTGGGCCTCTTTCTTTTGTGATTGAGATATTTATTCTCCCCCTCCTTGAGAGCTCAGAACTCTCTCAAATGTATTTTCAATTTGGAACTGGCCAGTACCATGTTCCCCTTCTTAGAAAAGCAGCTTGAACCCAGGGAGTCAACTGGAAGCTGAAATGTATAAAGCAGGGCAATGGTCAACCCTGGAAATCTCAGTGGAAGAGCGTTGACCAAGAAAAGAATGTTCCACTCACTTCAGGGATATCCAACATGATGCAGAGCATTCTAGAGAATCCTCTGTTGTGAAAGTAGCACTCAGATTAAAGATCTTCCAACTGTGGAAAAACTAAAGAAGGGAAAAGTCTCTTATACTGCCTTGGGCCAACCCTGAAGATGGTTCTTCGCCTCCTTCCTCTACTCCCTTTCTCCTCCATAGACAAGATAGTCAAACAGACTCTGTTTGACTAAGATTGTAGACCCTGGATGGCACAGCCCCAGGAGACAGTTACATATCTTCCTTGTTCCCTTTCTGTGCATGCCCGATCACGAGACAATCACACTATGTTCAGCCTAGGCCACATAGCACTATTTACCCAACCTTTTCTTCCTGTTTGTCTTACACTATAAATAAAGATCACCCTGAACTCCAGGCAGCCATTAGCTCTAGACAGGCTATGGTTCCAACTGGTTCTAGCTTTCAAGCATAATCTTGGTGTTTTTATTTTTCATCTCCCACCACTCTCCCCAGCTTCAGACCCTACGCCATGCAGATCACAGCATTACACTGTGGAAAGAAAGTTCTAGTATGTCACAAAGTGTTATAGGGCAAGAAACTGGGGCTGGAGGTGGGTGACAATGGAACAGGGATGCCAAGGATGTAATCTCTGACTTGATTTGTTGTTGTTGCAGTTATTTTTTCCTGCAGTTCACGAACTCACAGGCATCAGGCTGTGATTCTATTATTATCATGGTATTAATAGTATTAATATTATTCATCTAGTCCAAAAGAAGCTCAAAAATTTCATACTATGACCTTCAGAACTAGTGAATTCCAGAGAGTAAATGAATGCTTTTCATAGAAATATTTTCCTTACCACATTTCTCTAAATCTGTTGGATATAAAATTTTATCATTTTAAAGTCATGTTATTTAAATCAAAGGTGAGGAAGAATATGGAAGAAGAGAAAGGAGATGTAAGGAAAAGTTAAAAAAAAGAAAAGCTATTTCTTTGAAATTAGTATTCTAATTCTATTTTTAAAAAAGATTGGATGCTACACTTCAGACTACATTCCAGAAAGCAGTCTGCTTAATAAGTCATAAATAAGGCCTAACAAAAAAAGGAAAAATTATTGAAGTATACAACTTCTCAATTTTACTGGGCATTGCACACAGAATTGAGAACTGTGCATATAGAGCACAGACACATGGAAGATTTAGAGAATATGTGCAAATCTTTCAAAACACAAGGTATCAAGAGATTCCAGTTCAAAAGAACAGATTATGAGCTTAAGAAACAGAAGAAAAGTTCTGAGACCTTTCTCAGGCTTTACTTCAGGAGCTAGTCATACCAGTTTATTCAGGAGTGCAAGAATTATTGCAAAATGGTCAGGTTCGGGTTCTATAAACATATTATTGAAGCTTATCTTTACATATAAGACAAAAAACATTTCAAAAAGAATTTCAAAAAATTCCATCCTTTTAAATTTTTATGTTCTTTTGCATGGAAAAGAAGAAATCTTCCACTCACCTGTATCAAATCCCACACTTGGCACTATGTCCACTGTTCCATGAAAGGCTCCAGCCCACGCTGAGGTAGCAGTGGTGACTGCAGATGGATCTGTCTTAGAGATATCACACTGGGGAGCAGGAAGCCTGGCTGCACGCACGGATGGCATCAGCAGGGGACCGTAGGATGGATCCAAAGCAGAGCCAGCAGCAGGGTGGTGGTGGTGATGGTGATGATGATGATGGTGGCGGTGGTGCATGTGGGTATGGGGGTGGTGGTGCCGCATGTATACATCATGCATGTGGCTGTAGGATGGGCTGACCTGAGATGCCAAAGGGTAGTGCCAGGACTCAGACACGGGAGGGGGAGGGGGTGGGCCAGTCTGATGCAGGCCATGTCCTGACCAGGGGCTAGGGTCTGCTGCAGTAAAGGTGCCAGGGGGTGCAGTGACTTGGAAGTCAGGATGAACTCCCCCCAAGCAAGGTGCAGGTGGGGGCTGGTAAGAGCTGGTCCAAAAGGAAGTTGGAAAATTACTTCGCTGGCTTGAGAGGGCTGAGCTCTCTGAGAAGACAGAAAACACATTATTTTCATAAGATTCAGTTCTGGGAAAGATTTGCCTTTACTTGTCCAATCATGTTTTACAAGCAAGTGAATGAATATGCACTCTTTCTCCACACAGGGGTGGAGTGATACCAGGTTAGCCTCTGGGCTATCATGTCAAGACCACAGCAAGGACTCAGAGTATAGAATGAGCACCCCTAAGCCCTGCCATTTGCTTGTTTAGCTTTTGTTAGTCGGTGTAGAGTTTGCAATTTTGAGAATGAAAACTTCATTTTCTTTTGGGATTCTTGCTTCCCTAGGTCTCAGCAGAGGTCATAGATAAACATACTTCTCTGGTAAAGAAAATTTATGCCATAGATGAGGTAAGTGTAGATTGGAAATGATCATTTTACCATCATCTTCATTTTTTTTTGCTTTGGTACCAGGGATTAAACTTGGGACCTTGCGCTTGTGAGGCAGGTAGTGGAACCACTGAGCTAACTCTCTGGCCCTTATCATCATTGTCTTTTAAGTACAAGTACAATTTTCATTCAAACCCAAAATTTCAATGCTAAGTAGCAAATGGAAGTAAGATCACACTTAATTGTGACCACCAACATTTCCTCCCTATAGAGACCGAGGAGTCTCTAGAATAATAATAATTGCCTCCTAATGAGAGTAATCAAATGCCTCACACCAAATTAAGGCTTCTCATGAATGATTTATAAGCTCCTCACTCCAGTCCTCTGGAATACAGTGGTACCTCGGTTCCCAAACTTGATTCTTTCCACAATTCTGGTTGCAAACTGAATTGAATGAGAACCAAATAGAATTCAATGGTTAGGTTCAATGTTGACCTTATAAGGAAATTTGATTTGGTTCTTGTCTGGTTCAGTTTGCAACAAGAATCATGAAGAGAATTGAGTTCCTGAACTGAGGTACCAATTATCCCCATTTTATAAATTAGGAAATGGAGACAAATAAGAAGCCTAAGACTTACATTGTTAAGATCAAGGCTGGCTTTGAGGTCAGGTGACTTGCCTCAATGGGTAATGCTAGCACATTTCATATCATGCCACAGAAGGCACACTTATAACTTCGACCCAAATATCTAATTTGCTAAAGAGTCTGTGAAAATCGTAAGTGGAGGAGATCTGAGCAGAGGTAATGAAGATGAGTAAGTTTTTTGGATAAGAGGGAAATATAAAAGAAATGCATATATATATATATATAGAAGAGGGGAGAATTCTTCCCCTAACTCTGCATCAACTCAATGCATCTACTCAATCATCACAATATACTTATAGATGACCTACCATGTGCCAAAAAAGGGGGTTTAGGGATGAATGATCACTACCTGGAGGAGAGCACACAAGTGAAAAAAAAAAAGTGCTGTGGTACATGGTTGGTGTTCTCAGAAGAGGAAATACAGAGAAAGAGTACTGAACCAACTGAAGAAAGCAATAACCACATCAAAGCTAAAATGTTCAGAAGAAGCTAATCATCTGAAGAAACAAAACAGAATTTTAGAAAAATGAAATGGTATGTGAAAAAGATTATATATTATACACATATGCATGCATGCACATAGCAGCAGTAGCAGTATCAGCATTTGAATAAAATGTGTTCAGTAAATAGCAGCTGGCAAAAAAAGAAGAAAAATTACAAAACTATAGAAATATGAAGTACTCAGATGAGTGTGGCTTTCAGGTGTACCAAATGTAGGGTCTAATTCTGAGAGAAATGACAGTGGGTTTGAAAGGTTAATTTTAGAAAGTTACCTATTCAGATCAGTATTTAGAAAGATCAATCCATTTACCTATAGCCTGTTGCATAAATATAGTATACCTCAAAATGTCCTGCACTGACTCCTGAGATTTCAGGGCACCCTCTCACCCCACCTCAATTTATGATCCCAAGCATATGTATCTGTTAGTCCTTCAGTGGCTTACATTCTTCCATCAAAAAAAAAAAGTTCAGAATTCATTTAATTCAAATTATTTCTGCTCAGTTCTTGTGCCAACCTATACAATGTACTATGGATTATTTCTATATCTAGATAAAGATACAGTTGTTAAAATATTAATCATGAATGTATAATAAACCTATTTTCAGACTGGGTTCAAAATAAAAAGAACTATGCCAGAGTTCTCCTTTGAATGAGAATGTACATACTAAGAAATACTCTGAATATGGAGGATTCATGGCTAAGATATCTTTGGTTTCTCCTCATAAATTTCCAGGGGGTTTTTTGCCTCAGGGAAAAGTTAAGTAACTTGAATCAACCACTACATATATCAAGAGGTTAGCATATTGGGCTATTACTGTGGTGCTCACACACTTTTTCTATCATCACTAAAGACTGCCATGGTGGTGCAAGGCCTTCCACTCTCTCTCCCTCAGCCCTGTGGAAGCCACCATTACTCTCCCCACCCAGCCTGTGAACACGCAGTGATCCCCAGTCTCACAGCCAAGAGTCTCCCTCACAGTGCTGCCAAGGCTTTCAAACCTCAGGGAAACCTGGAGAATGCTCTTCAAGGGGCAAAGCATGGACCTGCTCACTCCTCAAGTCCTCCTATATTCCAAGAACCTTTTAGTTTACTGACTGTTTTATCGTGAGCAATCAGAGAAGACTGCAATTAAAATCAAACTTACTGGCATTGTGGCAGATGGGTTTTATTAAATAATTATCTCTCATGGGTGTATGAAAATTCTGGTAATAAAAAAAGGAAAACTGTATATGTTATGAAAAGAAAATTCAACTTTCCTTAAATGATAGCATTGACAGAATATTTTTGTCACACACATAATGCAAGCTACTAGCATTTAAAACTTAAAACCCACACAGGAGTTTATAGAACACTTTAAATTACAGAGTGTGGCTTGGCTACTATCAGTCTATTCCTTTGCACTCATAACTCCAATTTGAAGCAGCAAATCCTTCATTCTGGCCATAACTTCCATCTCTGGGTATGGTCAGAATCCTGTTATGAAAATTATTGAACCCCAACCCACAAATATGTCTCAGAGATACAGAGTCCCTCTTATTAAAAATCCCCATCAAAATGTAAAGCACAGATTAGATACCATTTCTCTGGCTACTTTCCTTTTGTTTCTTTTTATTTACATGTACATAAAACCAGTCATATAATAGATGCCTAAGCCTTTCAGATATACCTACACAAATATGAATAATGAACAAATTCTTTACCAAAAATATGATCATCCTATTTAGGAAGCATTGTATTGTGATTAGTGAATACTTTATCATTGCAAATAGAAATATATTTTTAAAAATCCACTCCCTAAAGATTAGGCAAAGGTTTAAGATCACCCAAGGAAAAATAAAATTAAAAAGCTTAATATTTTTTCAGTTTGTGTATGTCTCCTGAGATCAATATAAAGTTTGCAAGATTTATGCAGCTCTATTTAAAAACACCATTGCATTTTACAAGAAAGCAAAACAATATTGAACGGAAAAATATGCCTATGAAGAAATATTTTATAGAATCACTATTGTGTGCTTTTTCATATAAATATACTTTTTTCATTACATGATACTGCTTATGAGTACTTAATTGCAGCCACATTTGTTGGATGAAAAAGCATAAAAAAATAGAAGCTATTTCTATGTTCTTTTCAGTTTAATAAAGACAATTCAGAATTGTATCATATTAACATTGTATAGTGACTTTTGATTAAATATTATTCAATATTTGAGTTATAATAATCAAAATTTGGATGATGTTAACACAGACAATTTAATGCATACCAAAAAACCTAATTGTAATTTGGTTCAGTATGCGTTGGTATCAAAGAATATCACACAGACACAGATACAGACACAGACAAACTTTATCTCTAAACAAAACTGATGTATTTTCCAATACAACTTGCTCAAAGTGTACTAAGTGATCTCACTATCTTATTAAGATCAGAAATATTTCTTAGAGAAATAGAGTTTAATGTGGAATATCAAGTATTTTTTCAGTTCCACAAGAGCTATTTTTCCATTAAACTGAAATGTTTCTCTAAAAAATAGTAAAGGCAAGCAATTTAAGAAAAATTCAAATTTAATTAAAGAATTAGAAACTTAATTACTTAATTTTGAGAAAATGAAAAATAGGGAAAAAAGGACAATGAAATGTTGTCATCTTAATCTCCAGAAAACACGTTCTCAGAATAAATACTGATAAAACATACAAATGTTAAAAGGTAATATTTCCCTTTTTATTAATCTCAGTGAAAATAATCTATTTAATTCTTATATAGAAGGTTCCTCATATAGTACAAGTCTCATTATCTTTTTCTGCTTCCTATGAAAACAAGCTGTTGGGTCAGACATGAAATGATATGATTTCCAACATTTTCTATTTTTCAGGAATTACATTTTACCTCTAGTGTCATTGATTTTAGAGTTGCTCAAATAGGACTCATGCCTACAGTGGGAGTTCTAAAGAGTGATGTCAGATGTTCCTTCGCCTTGGGGGCAGTAGGGTGAGGTAAGTCAGGTTATCACTTTCCCTCACAGATTTGTCTTAAACTTCTTGAAAACAAAAATCTCTGGGCGTAGTGGAGATCAATCATCTCAGCTCCTCATCTCAATCAGCCAGCTCCTGAGACAATCCTTCCTTTCCATTTCTCCATTTTTCTGTTTAAACTCAATATTCACTTTGAGAGATCTTTCTTATGAGACCCTATGAGACTGAGTTGGCCCAAGACATCACCCAAGCAGCAGGTGTCAGCTTTGCAACTACAAAGAAAAATAATAACAACAGTAAGCTCAGAACAGTTTTTAGGTCTGTCACGTACTTTAGGTAGCCTGACTTAATTACCACTACTACTACTACTACTACTACTACTACACACACACTTGCATTTTGGGGAAAATCAGTGTGTAGGCATACTCGAAACTGATGTTTCTTTTTGCATGGGCATAAAGTGATAATCAGATTCATTATGTTTTCATCACTGAAGAAGCACTATTCCATCCCTACTAGAACGTGTAGTGGGATGAGAGGTAACTGATGAGATGTTGTGCCAAACGAAGTATGAATACTCCTTTTCATTGTTTGCCTGACAGCTGTAAAACACCAAAAAAGAACTTTTCTAGTTCCATCAAGAAATTGTACATTAAAAGTTTCTCCATAATTCCATTATCAGCTAACATCAATCAAATATAATTCAGTTTTAAATTTATTTGTAGCACTGTACTCTATCAACCGCACTGTATAACTTCATGCTATAAAGTAGGTCCTTTAAAACAGCTGTTTAGCAGCTTTTTTATATAGTGGAATTGCCACTGTCGCTAACATGATCAATGGCCTTTAACCTTTATTGCATCCAAGACACTGAATTTTGTGCCAGAGATATAAATTTCCAGGAAACAATGTTTATGGATAGTGACTTAACATTGGTTTTCTGTGTGCCATATGAGTGGAAACTCACTGAAGGAAAAGAGAAAGAGTATGTGAGTTTCACTGAACACCCTGATTCAAGCCCAGTACACAATTATTCACACATGTTGCAACAAAATCTTTACAACAATCCTAGGAGATGAGTATCAATAAATACATCAATAAACATTGAACTATTGCAGTTGAGGAAGCTGATACCAAAGACATTTAAAGTTATTAATCTGAGATCACTCTGCAACCAGAAAGTAATAAGGCCTGAATTTAAATTCAAACTGAAGAGGCTCAAAAATCTACATTTTCCATCCTATCTAGGTTTGGTAATTAATATTAATTTTTATCAATTCTTTTCACTAGATATGTAAATTTCATTTTATTGTACCTTCTCTTTAATTTTCTACATCTTTAGTTACATTTTGTGGCTCTCTCGTGAATCCTATCGTAGTTTTTCTATGTTTATTTAAAACTAATCCATAAGTAGAAATAACAATATCAAAGTTTTGTTCACAAATGAAAAGTAAATAATGCATTTAAAATAACAGAACCTTACTGAATAAAAGATTTTAGCAAGTACTTAATTCAACTCCTTAGTTTTTAAAAAAGAATGTTATAAACAAAGAATTCATTCAACTTACTGCCAAGATATTTTCTATTAAGGACTTCTTTTCTAATCCTGAATACCTAGAATGAAATTGGCTTACTTAATTTACATTATCATTCAATTTTTATTTACTATGGAATTGCTACATAGAAATGCAATGTTTTGAGCATCAAGGAAAATGATATGCGATAACCAAATTGATATATGTAGACTCTGGGGGAGAGGAAGAGGCAACAATCCTTAAAATATTTGTTCTGTGCCTCTCACTTTTCACTTCACTACATGCATTTTTGCTTCTCATTGATCACTGTAAGCTCAGTCCATCTTCAGGAACTTTGTACTGTCTGTTCCCTCTGTGTGGAATTATTATCCCCTAGATATTCACATGACAAATGCTCTTAACTCCTTCACTTTTCTACTCAAATGTAACTCTGTCAGAGAAGACTTCCATCATTACCATCAGTAAAGCAGTCACTGCATGTCACAATATCTTTGTTTATTACCAGTCTCTTTCGCTGTCAGTGTCTAGCAATATGAGCTCCATAAATGTGGGGCTTTGGACTATCCTACTCACTAATAAGGTCCCATTTCTCTGAATGTTTTGCTTCATTAGGAGAGCTTAATAAATAAATATTTATTTCATAAGCCAACAAATGAAACAGGAGAGAAATTTGAAGATCAAATTTAAGAGGATGCCAAGAAAATTCTAATAATAGGGTTTTTTAATTAAGTTTATTGGTACATTTTAGTATAAAATATGATGACAATCATCAATGGAAATTTGTACCTTTACACGATATATCTTGGTTCTTATTTTTTTCCCCCATTCCACTGCCTTCCTTTCAACCCCTCCACCCCTCCCTATTTACAAATCTTTGTTTACATTTTTTCCTTTTCTCATATTTATTCCATTCCCTTCTTTCCTTTCCCTCCGCCTCCCACTTACCCTTCCCTTTTGAACCTTTTCTTCCTATTTCACATTATCTATTATACATCTTCCCCAAATAATTAAAAGAATCATATCACAGCAATATATGTGCACCCATGTTTATAGCAGCACAGTTTGTAATAGCTAAAACTTGGAAACAGCCCAATAGTCCATTAACTGGAGACTAGATAAAGAAGATGTGGTTTTTTAATAAAATGGAGTACTACTCAGCCATGAAGAATGAAAAACTAGAGACAATTATAGCTAAATGAGTGCACATTGAGGTCATACTCTTAAGTGAAATAAATAGGACACACATGTATAATTACAAAATAGTTTTTCTGGTGTAAGAAATTAAAAGTGTAAATAAGGATCAAAATGTCTAATTTTTAAACATTAATTTTTAAACATTACTATTATTCACCCTTCCTACACTAATATTTAACAACTAATCAGAGGTCTAGTTTAATTGCTCCAAGTAATGAAAATTACATGGAAAATGTTGAATTATAGAGCTTTGGACACACACAACACCCTCACTTAAAACTGTTCTGGCAATGACACTAGAAAAAATCACTCTAGACAATTTTCAGCCATAGTTTCTGTTTTCGAGGTTAAATGATCACTAGGTTACATACACTAGTATGTTAAAAGAAGCAAATACTATATTTAGTAATAGTAAATTATAAAATAGCAATACTAATGGAAATAGTAATACTAACTGTAATAGTAATTCTAATTATAAAAGAAGGAAACACTATATTTAGTAAATATTGTACTTTAGTTAAAAGAAGCAAATACTGTATTTACTGTTTTCTCTTGGACCTGATTATCCTGATGAATTTATTATTCATAAATTTAATTGTTTATAAAAACTCATGCTTTCCTGTATCCATCCTCCACAAATTATTAAGATTAGGTACCATGTGCTATTAAATAGGATATTTGTTGATTCTAAATGCATCTAGGCTTCCAGGGACACTACTGTCTTAGTTTTTTGTAAGAAGTCCACAGTATTTACTAATCACATGAGCAATATATCTGCCAATTCACGTCTATCAAGACCTTTTATTTGAATTTGATTCTGTATTCCATCATCCCCTTATAAGGGGACCATAGTCACTGCTTATCTAAGTATTTTTTTATATCTACTAGAAAAAAAAGAATTAAGAAAGGAACGAAGAAAAAAGAATTGAGAAAGAAAGAAAGAAAGGAAAGGAAGAAGAGAAAAAAGGAAAGAAAATAGGAGAGAGAGAAAAAGAAGAAAAGAAAGGGAAAGGAGGAGGAAGGGAATGGGGAAGGGAAGAAGCTAAGGTGGAAATGAAACATGAGACCTACACATTACACCCAGTCGTGGCAGATCAGTACTTCTTCAGTAGAACAGAGGCTCTGAGAGAAAATACTGGTTCCCAGGGCTCACCTGATCCTACCACACCCCAGCTTTTCTCATAGTGGGGCTCGCTCAAGGCATTTATTAAAGTGTGACTTTACATGCCTTCCTCTGGAGACTCTGCTTCAGTAGTTTGCAGGCAAGGAGGCTGCAATATGTCTTCAATGTCACCAGGGTAATTATTGCCACACTTAACCCTGTTCTTGAATTACTGAAGGGTCAGTTAAACACAAATTACTCCATCTTAAAACTTCCATAGAACAGGTCTAGGGTAAGGCCCAAGAATTTGCATTTCCAACAGACTCCCTTGTAATGCCATGTTCTTGATCAGAAAACAACACTTTAAAAATTACACTATTGACTTCTTATAACCAGGTAAGTTTGGAAGAAACAACTGTCACACATTTATATTAAGCTATCATTAAAATGATGAATTAATTCTTTTCTCTATCTTTGTAGCTACCATTATTAAGATGTTACCCAGTGATTTCTGTGGGCCAGAAATCAGATTCAAACAAATCTTTGCACCCTCCACATAAAAAGAAATAAAGAAGATGATGCTTAATCTACAGCTTTGTCTTTATCAAGGTAAACACTTGTTTAAACCATGGCGGTGTTGCCAGTAATGACTAGGTTATACACTACAAACAGTTACCCCACAGCAAATCGGCAGAGAAAGCTATTGGAGAACACAGAAGGCTTTCAGAGTCTGAGTTTCTGGGTCAGACTTAGATATTGGCTATGTCATCACATAATACCTAGTAGAAAGAGCAAAAGCTAAATTTTTAGAAGCTAATTTCGGCTTGCTTATTATTCAGAGATCCAAATTGGGTCATCGGGCTTTAGGACTGGTGCTTGCAGCTCAATCTGGCCACTGTGAACTCAGGCCGGTTGTGTCACTACTTTTCATGTGGAATTTAAGGGGTGTGACCGCGTCCTTTCCAACCCTGCATTCCACATGTGACAAAACTGATCCAGCTGTTTGTCTGAAAGAAATTCCTTGCTGTCCTTAAAAATTAAAAACCAAGTGGATATCCATCCTCCAGGGGCATGTCTCCAGCTGGAACCTGGTACAGACAGTTGCAAAACAGAGACAGCGCCCTGGAGAGCATCTGCTTTTGAATTCTTACCTCGCCATAGGGGGGTTAGCCCCATCTTGCTTTTTGAAATGGCAGATTCTGGATGGAAGGTGCTGGCTTGGCCCAAAGCTCTTGAGAAGTGTTCATCCACTACTGACCCAATGTCTCCCTGGAAATAAGTGAAAAGGACACAGCGAGAGTTAAGGTACTCCATCTCGGCAGGCTGGTCTTTCTCCTCCTCCTCCTCCTCCTCATCCTCCTCCTCCTCCTCCTCCTCTTGTTTGCTGGGAAGGGTGACTTCCAGAGAGTCCTGCATCTTGCTGTATACCGCTAACTTCTTCTGGGATAGAATAAACAAAACACAGTATCAAAGATAGTTTGTAAAAGAAAAAAAGCATTAACTAGTTAACTTTTCACTTTACAAAAGAAAGAATCTAAATATTAACATATGTTTGCAAATTGATTCTTCTTCATCTGTTTTCCTCAATCTTTTCCCTCCCAACCAGTTGCCTCCTTCCCACACTGAAAAAAAAAGTCTGTTATTCCAAATTTAGCAGACAAAAATCCATTATCAAATTGTGTATTTTCAAAATGTCACACAGAATTCAAGTTTGGGGGTTTTTTTTGGTTATTGTTTCAAAACCATCTACACTAAAATAATGACTATTTAAAAAATAACAACAGAACCCTTCTAGTTTTTCTTCAAATGTTTTATTCACTTGTAAAGATTTAATGTACGGTAACATTTGAGTCTAGGATGGGGAAGAATAGAGTTTAGGAAATCTATCTGGAGGCAGGGTGGAGAAGAAAAGAACTTTTCTCAAATGAAATAAATCAAAATAAAAACAGGAATGTAGCATCTTACAAAAAGATTTGGCAGATGTGCTGAACTCATTTCTCAAAAATCAAACTAAAATGACAAAATAAGTCTGTGTGAAGATCCATTTTGCATGGAACATATTTTTCAGATGTTCCACCATTATCATACAGGACAAAAACATTTTATTGAGGCTTACTGAAAATAATACAAAATGCTAGCAAGGACCAACTTTTCAAATAAAAAATAAGAAAATGATAATCTAAAATATATTTTAAACATATGACCATGGATATAATATTATATATTATGCAGGATATTCTTTTTAAACCTTATATTTATTACCTCATTAATCTTTATAATTTCATAAGATGGTCATTACTACTATCTATACATAAAAGAAAAAGACATTAAGACCTAGAGAAGTGAAATAACTTGCCAAAGGTAACAAAGCACATAAATAATGGAGCTAGAATACATAACAAAACATGCAAGTGTAGATATGTGTGTTTATGTGTGTGTAGATGTGTGTGTGTGTATATATGTGTCTGCATGTATGTCTGTTGGGGGAGCAGAGAAGGGATACCTAATGTGGGAGAAAACATCACTAAAATATTGTATTCTGCATTGATTTTCTGCCTGGCAAAGTGGTAGTCAATTATTATTTTCTTATAGTTTTGAATATTTCCAAATACTTTCACTGAACATGAATTACTCACATTAGCAACAAATTGATTATCATTTATATGTAAGAAGATAATGTTAAAGCTTACAAATGCATTATTTTAGTGACCAAAAAAAGCTTTCTATACCACATACTTATCTGCAAAATTCAATCCTTTCTCATCTAATTTTTCAGAAAAAAATACATTCTGGAAAATGAGTATGAATAGAAAAAAAATAATTCCAGAATACTCAGTAGTTTTGCAAATATTATCCCACATTAAGCCCATTATGTTTCTAATGTAATTACTAGTTTCAAAATCAATAGCCCAAATTATAAATGTGTCATTTAATAAATGAACCCTTTCTCCCATGAATGAATACATTGTTCTTGTGTGAGATGGGTCCTGAATTGTTCAGGAATATTAGGAGCTGCAAATTATTATGACAGGGCTGGTATTTATAAATACATGCGTTGCTTTTTATTTAGAATGTTGATGTGATTATCATTTGTTGATGAATAGATAATCCACTCCTTGTAAATGAATATGCCTTGCTGATAAATAGGTGATTGCAATGACCACCTAGTTGTATTTCTCATCATGTCCTTTTGTATAGATTTCAATATATCTGTATTTATCTTCAATAGCAAAAACACCATACCAACATAAGTTATGTATAAAATGAGAAGACCAAACTAAATGACCTGTAAAGTTACAACTAGTGTTACTTTCCACTATAAAATTAAACAAATACTATGATTTATTGCTCAAATCTCAGTGCTGTTTCCCTATGTGACATGTATTTATGCAAAGCATATACGATTGTAGCATATGCACACACTCTTTCTTGAATATCCTGGCATATTTTATATGGAAAGGAAATTAAAGTTGAACTACAGGGTAGCTTCACTCTCTACAAGTGTTCATTATTATCTATAAACTGATATTTTTTTCTTATTAATGTCCAACTCAGCATCAAATTTTTGGGCAGGCTTTGCTTTGCATGTAATTGTTTCATTTGTTTAATTGTGGCATTTATTCTTTAAATAAAAGGGCCTTGGCGGTGCTGATTATCCAGTAAAGGGAAAGGTTTATTTTACCCTCAATTAACAGCAATTAATTCTAGGTGAAATAAAATTAAGTTATATATACAAAAGATCTGAAAATTGGAAATTGTGATACAAATGTAAAACTGTTTTGTGATTAATAATACCAATCATAAAAGGCCTTAAATTTTTAATTGACAACACCTGAATTTAAGCTGCAGATTGTAAACCTATAAAATTATATAACATTCTAACTGGTATCTAACTTTGTGATTTTTTTTGCTACTAAAATGCTGAATGGTACAGCCGTATACAAATAAATTAATCTTTAGAATTCCATAGTTTTTAGTACACAATGAGAAAAAATAAACAAAACCTGCCATTTTATCAAAATGTCATTAGTTTTTTAAAAAAAAATTTTTGTCAATGAATACACTGATAACCTTTATATTTCATACATGTAATATATCTCTATTCATATAAATATGCATGCCAAAATATTTCCTTTTGATATTGTAAAGAACTGTGGTTCTATAAAAATGGGAACCTATGATATACCTACCAACAGGCAGGATATTGGAAAATTTATTATTTCCACTTGTACTTATCTCAAATAAAGTTGAACTAATTTTCACAAATAACAGTGAGACAACTTAAAAGTATACATTTCCAATGCACAAGTATATACAGACTAATAATCAATATTGCTAGTTAAAAAAAGAATTTCAAAGTGTACAAAGTAGCCTGATAACTACTTAAAATGCTAAATTTGAATTTGCATAAATGTTTTAAGTTTGACTCCGCAGAAAACAGAAACACAAAATGATATCAACTGACTCAGACTGACATTCACACTGTCCTAATTTTCTTCTTCATAGTCTCAAGCCTCTGCTTTCTGATATCTGTGGTTTAGTGAATATCAATAATTCCTCACTTTTTTACATCAACTCATCACACTGCTCATGTTCACCTTTCCATATTCTATATTCACTTTATATTTATTTGTTGGAATGTTTACTTGTTGGAATGTTGTGTTACATTCTTTTCAGGGAATAACATATATTATTCAAAATATTGAGATTAAATCTCAAATCATCAGGACCTAGATTTTTGGAATCAAGGTCAAAATGTAATCTAGTACATATTTTTCTCAAAATGTACAATCACTTCTAAAAAATATCCAAATGTCATAAACATTCATGCTTTTCTCACAAGACCCTGAAGAACTATCAACAAAACTAAAAAAGTCATCAAAAGGGATTTTATAGACTGTTATTTAATGCATATTTATATTTCATTGTCACTACTTAATAATGACAAATTTTCCCCAGGTAATATGACTCTGGAGTTAGATGAAACAATAAACGGGTTAATAGCGAAAAAATTAAGATAATGCACAGAAGTGCAAAGCAAAAGAGAGTTGGCATAGACAGACCTAACCATTGCAGACTACCTCAAAGCCTGCCATTAGGCACGAGAAAACAAACTTGAGCCGAAATGTGCAAGAGAAAGGATTTGTCTGACACGAGAAAGACTTCCATGTCAGGAGTCAAATACCACAAACTCCCCAAGGCTTAAGCCTGCAAAATGCCAAGTGATTACTGTGCATATGTGGAAACTTTTTTCCTAAGGAAACAAAAGTATTTTAATGAATCACTGAAATCATTGGATACTTAGAAATAGCTATTTTAAAAAAATATTTACTAGCTATTCTCAATAAATGCAAAGATTCTTTTATGTTCAAACACATGGTTCGAGCCTATGGAAAGAACCACTGTCCTAGAGTAAGGAAGTGTTTTGAAATTGTGAAGTCTACAAAACAATCTCATTGTTTTTTGAGTATATTTTTCTTAATTTACTTGTATAACAGATTTTTTAAAATATCTCAGAAACATTTGAAATTTTGATTCTTTTCCTATTTGGAAGTGGCTGAATCAGGAAATTGGAGATTGTGTTAGGTTAGGGGAAATAGGGCAGGAAACCTTTATGTATTTTATTTCACTAATCCTCACACAAAAATATTTTGACAGAATAATAATTCTCGATTTACATATACAAAAATAGTTTGCTTTGCCAGAATCACCTAACTAGTAAGTAGTAGAGGTGGGAATAGAACTTATTTTTGTCTGACAGCAAGGCTCATGCCAAGAAAATAGTCTACAGAACATGAATCTCTGTAAGATACTTATTTTGGTTAAATAAACACAGAGACGCCCACAGCCAGAAAGGCATCATATGCTAACTTGGATAATCTAAAGTTGTTTATAACATTAAAATATCAGAGTAAAACTCATATCAGAAATAGTGCTGTTGAGTAATGCAATGTTCTTAAAAATATACGAATATCTTGATGAAAAGGAACTCTATCTAAAACAATGTACTGTCCTCTGGCAATTGGATACATAATATATTTGGCTATAATTTTTCCAGAAATTCTGTTCTGCAAATGTGAGCGTAATTGACTTGTGAGAAACAGTCATACTTCAGATACCGTGTTTGTTTTTATTTTCTTGGTTTTTAAAATTTTTCTTAATAATAGCAACATTATTTAAAAATACTATTACTTAATATGATAAACTACTTGTGAACAGAATTGCCTATAAAGTCTGGTCATTATCAAAAATCCAGCCTACTTCCTCCAAGGATGAAAATTCTCCAGTTTTTATGATGTTCGAAAAAAATGTGCCACAGGCTTAAAAGCAATTACAAAATTTGCATTCCCAAAATGTTTTAAGCCATGATCACATCATTAGGGTATGTGTTCTTTCTCAAACCAACTACTTGGAATGAAACAACAGTTTCCAATGTA